CAGCGCCTGGCCACGGGAAAGGCTCGCGTGGCACGGGCAAGGGCAAGGACACGGCCGCGCCCACGTCAGAGGCGCCCGCCGCCAACGACAAAGACAAGAAGATCGAGCAGCTCGAACTTCTCGTTAGCACCTACCAGCAGATGGACGCCAACGTCGTGCCTGATGTGGCTGCCAAGCTGCAGCAGGCCAGAGCTGATTTGGTGGACGCGCGCGCGGCGCAGGCAGCCAGCCTGCCGCCTGCGCAGCGCATGGCGCGCTGCCACACCCGTGTGCAGCGCGCGGCCGAGAAGGTCGAGAAGATCAAGCACCAGATATCAGAGCTGGAGAAGACCAAGCAGGAGCTGCAGCTGCAGCTCGACGCCACAATCCAGTCCATCGACGAGCAGAAGAAACGTCTCGAGCAGGCCCAGGACGACCAGCAGCGTGAGGAGCAGGACGCCAAGTCAGTCTGGGCAGACACTGCCCCAGATGAAGGTCCTGGATCGCTTGCGGAGTTCACCAAGACGTCCAAGGCAAAGATCGCGGAGGCCAAGACTAAGTTTGCAGGCAATGCAGACATCCTCAAATTCATCAACGACATGGCCAGCATGGTGGGGGCCCTGCCTGAGAAGGCAGCACCGCCGCCACAGCCAGCAGCATCGATTACGGACACACCGATTTTTGATTCTGAGTTTTTCAAGGCCGAGATGGAATCCCTTGCTAAGCACCTGCCGAAGAAGGAGCTCGAATCCCTGCAGAAGGCCCGAGCGACGTACCAGGACCAGCAGGCCGCAGCCGCGCGCCAGCTGGGCGGACCATCGAGCAAGGGAACTGGCAGCGGTCGCGGCCACCGCCCGTATGGGTAACGGCTCCAAGTCGACCCTATCGACAGCATCGACAGAGCGCCGTGCTACAGTGACGTGCGGTGCCTCTTGGACTGAAGCTGACTGCCAGCCAGTTTCGCCAGCGGCCTCACCAGCATATGCCAGTGCTGGGAAGGCCTTTCCTACTTCTCCTCACTCCTCCTCTCCTCAATGCACCCGTTTTGAGTCTTTCAATGGGTCCTCTTGGGGCTCCCTCAAGAAGCGCCTCCTCGAGCTTGCGTGGGGACCCACCAAAGTTTTGTTTGCTCAGGAGGTGCACCTTGTGTCAGATTTAAGCATTGCCGAGGCCTCAGACTGGGCCACTAGGCACGGCTGGAAGAGTTTTTGGGCCCCGTCGGTTGCCACTGCCTCTTTTGCCCCCTCAACGAACGGTTTAGGGGATGTAGGTTCGTCAGCTGGGGTCGCCATCTTCGTGGCCGACGATCTTGGGTGCTACACTCTGGAGGAACCCGTGGGGCCCCCTGGAGGTATTTTGGTGCCACACCGAGTCAATGGAGTCGTTTTGGAGTTCCCCCAGACCTCGGGCATCCTCTGTCTAGCTTTGTATGGGCACGTGAGTCAGGGACTCTCGCCAGACAATGTCGCCATCCTCGAGGCCATAGCCGATCTGGTCAAGGTTTCGGGGCTGCAGTACATCATAGCAGGAGACTTCAATATTACTCAGGACCAGCTTGAGCATTCGGAGTTCTGCAATTATATCAAGGGTCAGCTCTTCGCGCCGGTTTGCTCGATGGGCACCTGCACAGCCAGCGGTTCAGTCATAGACATGTTCATTGTTGAGCAGCAGCTTGCCAACGCTGTGCGAGACATTGACGTCGATTTCGACTGGGATGCTAGGCCGCACTTCCCTGTTGTGCTGGATCTGCCGCCAGATTTTGGAGAGGTCAAGGTCCTTCAATTCCCTGCTATACCCGCCCTCCCCTCCTCATTCGACAGGGATGAGGAGGATGGGGATATCGTGCATCCTAGCACCGTTTCTTGGGATAAAGTTTTAGACCACATAAGTAGGCTTATCTCTGCTTTAGGCCACCGTCACAAGGCAGTGTTGCGAGAAGGCTTCGCCTCGGCCTACGCGCACTGGGCCAGCGCCGCCGAGCTCGAGCTAGCGCAGCGGACGGCCACCAAGATTCGCGAGCGCAAGTCGTTAGGCTTGAGAGCGAGAGCCCCCCAGCCAGTACTCAGAGCAGTCACCAAGAACGAGAGAGCTCACAAGCAGTACGGTCTCCTCCCCACAGCGCCGAGCTGGATTGCCACACGCATGCACCGCCTCGTTTGCTACTTGGATGAGGAGGAGGAAAGGAATGTGGGGAAGGTGATTGGCAGAGAATCTAGGCCAGCAGTATTCGATCTTATTTCCCGTGTGGTGCGTGCTAAGCCGCAGCATGTGATGCAGAACGAGTGCGCGCGCACGCTCATCAAAGATATACAGCATTATATCATGCCCTTGCACGCTGATTTCGAGGCCGAAGCTTTTTGTTGCAGCAAGATAGCTGCCACGGTCGCGCAGCTGCTCTCGTTCAAGGCCAGAGCGGACGCATGCGCCAAGAAGGTCATTTCAGATGCGCGGTCAGCCAACGCCAGCTCTTGGAAGGAGTGGGTAGACAAGGCCCTCGACAAGGGGGCCAGGGCCGCACACAAGTTCATTAAGGAGCGTACCAAATGGGAG